CCAACTCACCCTATGATCTCTCTTCTCCTCTCCAAGCTCCCACAAAAAGTTCCTTATTAATTTTTCCAAAAGATTGGAAACCTTTAAGGGGATCTTAAACACTGACAGATAGTAGACAAGTAGGTTAGCTAGGGTAGACCTAATGAGAGTGACTCTCCCACCTAAAGAAAGATAATTTCTCTTCTAGGCCGCCAGGTAGGTTAGGTAAGTTCCTTGTTAATTTATAATAATTCTTTGAATGAACAATTTTCGGATCGATGCCATTTCCTGAGGTGCTGCATATACATACTGTTTTCTCATAAAGCATTTTCTCAGATTTTCTATTTGCTGTTGCTGCCACATAGGCGTTTTTCAATGCCACATCAGCACACCATTGCTAGCAACAGTAGAAAAATGGGAAACACTAAAAAAGGCGTTTTCTCAGACTACACCTTTCCCGATTTCAAAGGCATGGTCTGAGAAAACATTTTTTCAGAAAAACAGCCAACCAAACAGCAGGCGTTTTCTCAGAAAACAGATTTATGATATGGTGCTGATGTGGTGCCATTTTCTGAAAACGGTATCGATCCCAAGCACCTAGTCAAGTTATCAGATAATGAGTTATACAGATAAAGTTTTTTATTCAAAATTACAACAAAAGAATAATCTAAAGATGACATATTTTCACATAATACAGGTAGTACTTCACTCATTAAATTGTTGGAAGAAACTTCTGTCACTTAAATTATCAAAGGTATTCTCAAGTTTGCCAATGATATGAAATGGTAACGGTAAGAATGGTGCAACACAAACTCAAATTTAATCATAAGCTGGAGATTATGAGAACAAACCTCAATTTTGCATTCATTGCCTCACACCTTCTGCACAACCATGTTTTTCTTAATTCATCCTGTTCAATTGATGAAAATAATAATAATAGATTAAAATTCACAACATTTAAATGAAAGATTCTGTAAATAAAGAATACCCAGTAGCAGATAAGGACTAAAAACAAATTAGAGGTTTTTTACTCTTTCTGAGAAGAGGATTGAGGAGATAAATGAGTTTTAAAAAATAATTCAGAAGTGGAAAGGTCAAATATTTTCATCCTATTCAGTCAATGAAAATAATAATAGATCAAATTCACAACATTTAAGTAAAAGATTCTGTAAACAAAGAATACTCAGTTGCAGCAGATAAGGACTAAAAAAAATTAGAGGTTTTTTACTTCTATTTCTGTGAAGGGGGTTGAAGAGATAAATTAGTGTTTTAAAAATTGATTCATAAGTGGAAAGCTCACATATTGATGTTGGTGTTGCAGCTTCAAATCCTTGACAAACTTAATAAGCGCTGTGAGTATCTGCTCCAGGACCTAATATGGATATATTTGCAGGTCATATACTCAAAATCTCCTATACATCATCAGTAACAACAAATGCCAATAGCAAACCAATGCATATATATATATATATATATATATAAGAGAGAGAGAGAGAGAGAGAAAAAGTTGATGTACATTATAATATTCTGCAAACTTCCTATCTGCTGAATAGAGATCTTCTCTCAAAGCTGTCTCTTCACTTTCAATTTCCTCAATAAGTAACTTTACTCTGAAATCATGAAGATGTGGAAATTTAAATCATGAGCTTGTAGGATAATAGATTCTTGTCAAAAGTTAAAAGAGACAAAATAATATTAAAAAAAATCTAAGATAATATGACAAGCCAAATCTTTCATAATTTACTATATAGCTGTACATACCCCACAAAAATATTACACGCCAGGTAACAGCCAACCAGGCATTGAAAAGAAACAACTCTACATTCAAATAAATGTAAGAAAGATTCTTTGAGACTTGCAACTTTCCAAAGGGCATCAATAGGAGAAGAAAAGGTTTCCATGAAATGGATTTCCAACACATAAACTCAAATCACTTAAAAGGCTTTTACATTGGTTCCTTCCACAACGCACATTAAGGCTCCATTCACCTCTTTCCTATAAACCACTCCGGTTGCCATCCAGGTCTCCCAGTATGTTTTCTATCAATAAAGCATAAAAGAGACTGGGAAAAGAAAACAACATTGATAAAACAACACGATTCCAAACCTGGTTGGTTTGTGCTCATACTTCCTCACTTTATGGAGGAAGTATTGACATAAAAACTAGTTTAATTTTGGAAAATTAAAATCTAAGTTTTTTATCAAAAAGTGCATATAAAAATAGGTTTAATTAAATGCATTTATAGAATTACTCAACACAACTCAGCCTTCATCCCAAATTTGGGGTTGGCTCGTTTATGGCATTGTGGTAGTATTAGAATTTAGTAGTAAATACGATCAGGCTTGATGATAAGATATTGCTAAAGCATAGATTTTAATCCAGTGATAAAATAATTAATTTCCTAGTTTTTTATTTTATTTGTTTATTTATTTTTCTGTGATTTCTAAAGAATCAGGCTTACTGAAATCAAAACCCTAGGCTAGCGTTCTAGTGGTTTGAAAATCTTAAAAAAAAAATCTATTCTTTCTATAACGTTCTTTAAAGATGGACATGTTTTGAAGTTAAAGGAAAACAATGTTACTCTGAAATCTTTTAGCTTATTTTTACTGCCTTTATGGCAAAACAAGCACTAGCATAAAAGTGAAATTCTTTTCGTAAATTGTTTCCTTATTTTTAGTTAGTAGTCTTTATGGCACAATTGTTTTCAGTAGTTCCTATCAGTGACTATTGACACCACACCAATTTTGTGTTACTCTGATTATTGGAGGTTGAGCCAGATTAACTCAGCCCAACCCTCTTTCACAACATGACACTCAATAAGCAGACATGGTCACAAATCACCAAGTTGAAATGAGTCGCTATTAATTTTGAGAACAGTCACATAGACCTTGAACGCTCAAAACTTAAGATTTCAGAGTTTGGATATGAAATATTTAGAGGAAAACAGGGAATGATAAATATATGAGTTAACTACAGAAACCTGTTTGGTTTCTGAAGTTCTGTGTAAATAACCATGATTTATAGTGAAGTTGGAAGGATAAAGGAGAAGGCCTGTTATTGTACAAATTAAAAACGAAATAAGTTATACATCACTGCTAAGGAAAACACTATATGTTTTTAATTCCACTAAGAGACATCCTACCAGGAAGGATTAAAGTTGGGCACATGACAAAGAAATATAGATCAAGCCAGAGAAAACATTATAAAGCCAAATATATACTGCTCATAGTTGTCAAGGCACCATCTAGGCAACAAGGTGCTCCTATGGGGCAATTGGCCTGAACGCCATGATTTATATCAAAAAAGTGCCTTTTTAGGCAACTAGGCACCTGACTAGGAAATAATAAGGTAGATGCCTTTTTTGTAATATTATTACAATGGCTGCAACTTATTAGCACATGTTTTCATACATCCTATTGTATATTATAGGCACTTTTTCATCAATAACAAATAAAGTTTTTATTGATTGTGGAGAAAAAAAAAATGATATACAAGTACGAAGTATGTCCAGCACCCCCTCTTGATTTAGGCTATCTCCCTGATGCCTACCAACTATATTCCTTCCTTCTCAACATATTTCAATCTTATTCCTAGGTGAACCTTCCCCAAAACAGATGATCTCTTTATACTCCTTATCCAGATCCAGCCAGATCATCAATTAGGCTATTCATTAATCTTTGAATCGAAGTGAACAGAACACCTCCCTTAAGTGTCTTGTCAAATGCCTCGCATCATATAATATACATGTTAGTTATCCTTTGTTTTAGGGTTTTATTATTAAAAGATAAAAAAACAAGGGCTTTGAGAAGAAAAAAAGAGACAAAAGGAGAATGATAAAAGAGTATTGCTATTTTTCAATTTAAATGCATGCTAATGGGTATATAAAACTAGGGAACTAACCTAGCATTTAGTTGATATACTCAATCACAATGAGTGGGAAAAAGTCAGGGAAAAGGAATTAATAGATGCACCTATCTGGAAGAGCACTTGATATTTGACTACCAAATGATGAGTCTGCAATAGCAAAATAGCAGTATTATCAGTCAATAGATATGCTTCTATGACTATATGTCATCATAAATATATTGATGATCATATGTTTTACACACCATTATCATTGATTACAAAGGCCTCAGCTAACTTATTGCATTTAGCTTTTAAGCGAGCCTCAATCTCATGGGCAAGTGACATTTGATATTCTGACTGTTCCTACAATAAAAATAGTCTCAGAAACATCACCAAAATAGTTCACTGTTAATCTACAAGCTCAATTCTGTTTAAATTCAAAAGGTATGGGTTTAATGGGAAACCACATGCTTAACTTTAACAATGGACAATGTAATCAACAAACCTTAAAGATGCAGAGTTGTTGGTGTGAAAATTTTAATAAATTCTCATGCAACATAATTCACTCAATCAAGTGATTGAGTTTTTATTATTTTGGGTAAGGCCCATTCAGGGAATCATACGGATTGTTCCCCTTAATTACATCTCCACAAGAAAGTAGAGATCACCTTTTGATTCTAACTTGGAAAAATGAATGCATAAAACAAAAGAAAAGAACAATAGGGTACTTAAAAAGAACTTTTCATTTGTGTTTCTTTTACATCAAGTGTACAAGAATGAGAAGAAAGAAAAAGAAGATACAATTGAGAAACTATACAACAATACATTTCTCTCTTTTCCTTTTGATACAAAGAAAATTTCCTTCTCACTCCTTTCTTCACAATAAGTTGTAGTCAATCAGATGAAATTCTAACTGTAGACAGCCTTAATCCTTGGATTTTTGCATACAAAAAGGGAAACGTAGTCAATCGAACTGAATATTTGATTGTAGACTGTTTTTATCCCTTTGTTCTTCATTTTCATTTGAAGGGAACCATAATCAACCCTTGAGAATTAGACTGTAGATGGTTCAATCCCTAACTTTGTCTTGAAAGAGGGACCATAATCAACCAAGTAGAGGCCTGGTTGTAGACGGTTTATTTCCCTCTATTTTCTTTCTCAAAAGTGAAAATAAAAGAGAGAGAAAGAATGATACATTGCAGAAGACATATATAGGAAGTATTCACAGAGAGGACTTTCCTTTTTCTACCTGTATTAGTGAGACTTTTCCTTCCTTGCCTTACCTTGAGCACTTCTCTTTTCTTCTCTCTTTATCTTAGCTATTCTTTAGAATCTCTTGAGAGATTTTTCTCCGAAGAGTGTGTCAGTGCATCTAGCTTCCCCTTAAGGAGCTTAAATAGGGAGTGGGGTAGTTATGTAACTACCTCCTCCTCCTATGTGAAGGACACCTGTCCCTCCCACTTAAAGAGAGGGAACTCCCATACATGATACTTTTTTATAGTTTTGATGATTTGGCTAGCAAACTAACCAACCCACTTATTTGGGTTATTAAATTATTAAATATTATTTGGATTAAAAAAAAGTGCCTTCAACAAGAGTACATATCTAGGAATTTCATAAGAATTCTTTAAGCACCAAATGGCCGATGCATTATCACACATTGAACTAACAGGAGTTAAAAGTAAATAAGATATCATAAAACATAACATACCAAGGTAACTGTGGTTTGTTGAAGTTGTGTTTGCCATAAGTAAACAGGAGTTACCCCAAGAAAACAATTTGGAACTCCACCAACTCCAGGTTCTGCTGCATCGGTAGAACTCAAGGAAAGCGCATTATTTGCCATACCTGCTATGCTATTAGTCAGACTGACTGTATAATTTGCTGAATTTGAGCTTGAATTGATTGTGATGCTAGTACTTGTACTATCCAGAGAGCTCCTTGACATTACACTACGTTTCTCAATTTCTTCCTCATGAATTTCATCATCCTTTGAAAGAAGAGGAAATCTCAATTTTTGAGCTGCTTCTGCTACAACAAGTCGGTGCTCTAGAGACTCATAAACCTGAAATTACCTAAAAGATAAAACGATAAGACAAGTTTGTGTAAAATACATTTGTCTCTCATTTCATGATCCCCAGACTTACAACACTTATTTCCACAACATTTTTCTCTTTTTCTTTTGGTGGCTTGGGGGCAGGTCAGCAGTCAATCATTATAATGTTAAGACTGTATCCGAAACAAGGTGTCTAGTATAAAACCCCACAATTTACCAATATATTTTAATGATTTTCTTACAAATCATTGAATACATAGATGTTACTTGGTTATTCTTTAGTTTATGCATAAACTAACTGGGGCACCAATGCTAAAGCATGATTGGTAATCTAGCAGGCACCTTTTTTTATTCCTGTGAGGGCAGCCATTACATATAGCAGGCACCTTTTTTGGGAATTCAAAATATAACCATTGCAGGTGATTCAGCAAATACTATAAAATGGTTAAGAGACAACGAGGGGAGACCTTGGAGATTAAGTCACTATTTAGAAGAGGCCAGGGACTCTTTGGAATGCCTAAATGTAAAGTTAGTTTGGATTCCTAGGGAATACAACCAGACAACAGATGGCTTAGCTAAATGTGGTGCGTTCTTAGAGCAACTATATAGCAATTAGCGACAAACTTCCTCCTTTGTAATTTGTAGGGGTTCTCCCCTTGCTTTGTACATCTTCTCATGTATCTCTTTTTTTATTAATGAATCTTGGTTAACTTTTTTCAAAAAAAAAAAAAATCTAGCAGGCACCTTTTTATTTGGCCACTAAATATGGTATTAGTGGATACACCTTACATTTTAATAATGCCACTGTTCCCATATTGTAAGTTTTTTAGTATAATACTGGAAATATGCCTTTGCTGTCTAATATAAATTATCAGGAATAATCTTTCATCAACTAATATGGAACAGGCAGTTCAAAAACAGAATTCACTAAAAATATGCTAAAAGCGCCTCACATTTTCTGATTTGGTATCATGCTTCCACCAACTCATTTCCATCTTTCAAAAGTTTGATAGTAAGGAAAACACAAGAATTCCTGCAGTGCATTAGAATAATTTATCCAATTTGTTAGGCTCAAATAAATGATAGAAAACGATAGAAACCTACATTTTTATTTGTTTATGTATTCACTTGTTTGACCTAGAAACCTTTTACAACACTTGTGGAAAATGTATTCGTTGTCTTCAGGAGAAACCCTTACAATACCAATTACCTTTTTTTCTATTTATAAATATATTTCTGTCAAGTGAAGCATTTGCAATATGGATAAGTAAATAGAACATAACAGTAAAAGTACTTCAAAGAATAACATTGACATTCATCTTCAAAAGGTATCTTCGTTTTCAAATGAAGAATCTTAGCCACGTAATAAAACTTCAAACACAAATTAGCACCGAACATTAACAAGAGAAAAGGAGCATGTAATGAACGTGAAACTAACGCATTGGCTTCTGTCATTAATAAAATTTTCCATTAATCTCAATCCTGTTCAATTAAAATCTTGAAATGTATGAACCAACTTTTGCCATTATCTTCTTAAAAAATATTAATAAAAATGAGATGAAACCTGAGGCGAGATCTTCAAGTCAAATTCGGGGTAGAGACCATGAACATCACTGATTCCTCCAAGGCTCGCCACGGAAACAGCCTTCTGATACTCTTCCACCATTCCAATCGCTTCACAGTAGATTGCCTACATAAGCACACCCACTCAAATTACCAGGAATGAAGGATCAAAAAAGGTAGCAATTGAATTCCAAATGCTCAGCGTTATCGATATTTAAAAAAAAAAAAAAAAAAGAAAAGAAAAGAAAGAAAAACGAAATAGACGATAATAGCAAGTTTTCCTACCATGGCTTCCAAGTAGTGCAATCTCTCTCTTAACATTTCTTCTCTAGCCTACATTGGCAATCAAAGACGAGCAAAAGAGAAATCACGGATGCGAATTGCGAACGAACGAGAAGCGACAGAAGAATTTTGTTTAGGAAAAAGGAAAAAAAAAATACAAGTTTAAGACTTAAGAGGAGAAGGACGTTACGTACAAGTTGGAGATCGTAATAGGCGGATTTAGAGGTCATGGATCCATCAGGAGCTAGACAATGTCGTTCCAACTGTTCGATCAGCTGAGTCACGTCTGCAGCGAGTCCCTCCGTCTGTAATCCCTTCGCCATCTTTATTCGCGCCTCTCGGCACTCGGCTCCCACAAAACTGACCTCCCAAAATCCTTGAATAAGTATTAACTGATGATTTGATTCGGCTTCTTCGTGGGAAAATACTGCTCGCATGAAGTGAGAGAACGAGGTCCTACGTTGTTACACGTAGATAATAATAATAATAATAATAGTAATACTAACCAAGGTTTATCAATTCGTAGGCCAATCTATAGTAAGGACAGCCTTATCAATACGTAGGCCAATCTATACTATTTTATTTAAAAAGTAGGAATAAGTGTAAGAATATTTTTAGAATTTTGTATTGACAAAATTTATCTCTCTATATTAAAATTCATTGATAAAAAAAATGAGAATGGGTAATTAGTTATTGATATTAAATGAGTTGAAAAGAGTTAATTTTAAGATATTTAATGTATTCAATTATCTCTCATTAAATCTAATATTTAAGATATTAATTTGCATTCACCTCTATTGAATCATATATTTAAGCCTTATTTGTTTCTTCTCATCATTAAATTCTATAATTAAATACATACATAATGAATTAACAATTTTAATAACATAAAAACTTATATTTTTAAAATCTACCTAGAAAAAATAGTATTTTTATCTAGGCAGTGGTAAGAAATTAAACCATTTGGATCAAGTGGGCCAATCCATTTACCACAATTAAACAATAAAATGAAAAATATATTAAAATGAAAAAAATATAGAAATTAAAAAATGGAAATGTTTTTAACATCATATATTTGACATATTAAACAATAATAGGTATTGGTGATGCGCAATCTGCTCGCTCCCTCGTGTCTTATGACTGGGCTCGAACAAATGTTCTGATCTGGCAATGCCAAGCTATTCTATTGAGTTGGTCTCTATATGTCTGAGCTGAGTCGAGCTGTAAAGAAGACAAAGGTAAGAGTGCTTGGGTATTGTTTACCCGGGGGAACACTTCGATGCTTAAGCCAGTAAGGGAATTATGTGAAGAATATATGAGAGAGCTTTAGTTCTCAAGTGTGCATACTTGTTAGGGTGGTTTTGGGACCTTTTTATAGCTATTTGAGGTTCAAATGTCATCAGGCAACTTCTCTGAGTCTTCTGCGGAGCTGTTTCCGCAGTTTGAGGCATGCTAGACCATTAGTTGCTAGATTTGCGCGGTAGTTACAGGTCACCCATGGGTCTTGTGGCGTACGATTCGGCGAGGTGTTCCTACAGTCGTGGTAACGATGCTCATGTGGGCGTGGTGTGCCGAACAGTTTTGGATGAGCTTGTGTTGTCGGTGGGCCGAGCTCGCCCCAGCTCGGTCGTACACCTGCTGTTGGTTGTCACACGTTAACTTGTCAACCTGTCTTGCTGACGTATACGTTGTGCTGCCAACAGTGCCCACATGTCGGTAATTGCGCGGGGTGACCAAAATGCCCCTCATCAATTGCCCACCACTCTCGAGCCGTTATATAGCAGGCAAAGAGAGTAGGACCTTCTAGGGCATTTTGGATCTGCTCACTCTTGTTGGTGGTTCAGTTCACCTCTACTAGCGCTTCAGTTCACTTGGTTCAGGCTTGGTCCAAACCGCTTCTTCTAGAATGTTTCGAAGCTAGGGCATGGTTTCACGCGCGCGGGGTCGCGAGCATTTTTTGAATTCAAACATGCATTTTTTTAATTCAAAGGTGCGTGTGCGTTGTTCAAATTTTCAAGTTGGCGCGTCAGGCTGTCCTGTACCTACGCCATCGAATTCTTAACAGTGCGCCCCTGCCAGTTGTGGTTTTCATCTAGGTCGTTGATTTCTTCTTCTGCGAGCTATAAATATGGGGCCCCTTGACAAGGTCCCCACTCAGACACTGTTTTTGGATTCTTCTGGAGAAAGGATAGTGGTTTACGAGTTGATTTATAGTGTCGGTCAGCTAAGGCAAGCTCTTTTTTTCATTGGCAAGCTTGAATTTCTTCTATTGTCGTTGTCGTTTTTGGTTCCCTACGTCTTTCTGTGAGTATTTTTGCTCCTTTTTTGCCATGTATCATAGTTATACTGAAGATAGGCCATTCAGCGGTAGGCTAGATGATGAAGCTAGTCCTTCCGATGAGGGTGCATATGGAGCCTACTTCGATGGTGTCCTCATAGGCAAGAGAGAAGAGGTGGAGGCAGTAGTGAGTATGTTTGGACCATCCGAGATGTCCGAGGAGGAGATAGTTGAGGTATGTCAGAGATACAAAATCCTTAATGAGTATCGTTGGATTGCACCTGCTGTTGGCCATTTCCCTTGGGACCATGGCCGGGAGGGGTTGTATGTCTATGAGGAGGCATTGGACAAGCTTGTGTTGTCGGCGGGCCGAGCTCGCCCCAGCTCGGTCGTACACCTGTTGTTGGTTGTCATGCGTTAACTTGTCGAGCTGTCTTGCTGACATGGACGATGTTGGCAACACATCGTCCACATGTCGGTAATTGCACGGTGTGACCAAAATGCCCCTCATCAGGTATGATAAACAATGTTTTAAAAACCGACTCGGAGGCCAACCCGCTTTTGCCTTCGGGTCACAGGTCACCAATCAACTATCAAGATCAAATGAGTTAAACTGCTCTACGCCAACACTATATGTGTGTGTGTGTAAAAATACATATTTTATCAATAAATAGAATAATTATGTTTTACATATATTACATATAATATATGTATTATGTTACATTTATTTATGTTTTTCTAATTCCATTTTAAATTTTTTATTTATAAAAAAATATTAAAATTTGCAATTTAGGGACAAAAAAGGGTTTTATTCACAAAAATAGCAATGCAAGGTGCATAATGCCCTTGGGACATATAGATCTTAAAAAAATACTCAAAATAAAAAAGATAACCCCAACCGGACATTGGAGTGCAAAGTTACGACTTCCAAAACTTTGCACATAATTAATTATGTAACCTGTGACTTGGTTACTAGGTCGAACAGGTCAATGGTTGAACCGCCCAAGTTAGACGATTTTTAACCAAAGGGGGGGGGTTCAAGAGAACCAAACCCAGAATCAAGGCCGAGTGATGATTCGAATGGTTCAACTGGGCATGTCAACAACAAGTTAAAAACATTGATTATAAATAAGAAATGTTTTTATTAATGAGGGAAATGAAATGTAAAATTTAAAACCAATTGGAAGTAAACTATTTTCCTATTATCTCTCACTAAATCTCATATCTAAGGTATATTCTCTTATTAAATCCTATATTTAAGATATATTTTTCTCATCATTAAATTTTACCAATTAAATCCACTATTAATTTTAATAATATAAAAATAAATATTTTGAAAAATAATTTGAAAACAAAACCATTTTCTTCCCTCTCAGTGGTGGGTAAGCAATTCAACCATTTGGGGTCAAATCCGTTAATAAATAATACCATAGTTAAATAATAAAAAATTAAAATAAATAAAATATACAATACAAAAAAATAAAAAGAACTAGGCATTAATATTGTATATTCATTATATTGAACAAAAATAAGTATGAAATGTAAGAAGTACTTTTGTAAATGATGAAAATGGGATGCCAAAATTAAGATCAACTTAGAAATGAAATGATGTCATAGTCAAATAATAAAATTTTTAAAAATAAAAAATACAAAGAATCACAAAAATAAATATTATACATAAGATATAATTTTATCAATAATGGAAATGTAATACAAAATTTAATATCAACCTAGAAATCAAACTATTTTTCTTTTTGGGTCCTGGGTTAGTGGTTTGGGTCAAATGGATTAATCGATGATATAATAGTTAAATAATAAATATTTAAAAATAATAAAAAAGTACAAGTAATCAAAAGAATATATAAAAATTATATTTTAATTATGCCAAACAAAAATTAAGTGTGATAAGTAAAAATTATGTATATTATGTAGATGAAATATATAATTTAAAACTTATCCAAAAGAAAAGCTATTTTCTTATTTAAATGGTGGGTCAATGATCTAACTTTTCAAAGTAATTCATGATGTCATAATTAAATAATAAATATTTAAAAAAGATAGAACACAAAAGATAAAAAAAGTACATAATTTTGTCAAAGACATTTTGGAACATTTCTAATGTTATATAATCATCATATTAAATAAAAATAATTGTTAAAATAAAAAATATTTTTATTTAAGACAGAAATGGAATACAAAATTTAGTAATAGTAGTAGTAGTTGTTGTTGTTGTTGTAATAATAATAATAATAATAATAACAACAACAACAACAACAACAACAACAATAACAACAATAATAATAACAATAACAATAATAATAATAATAATAATAATAATAATAATAATAATTGTTATCCATACGTGCAACGTACGTGCTTAATTACTAGTGTAAAGAAAAGGGTAAAAAATGTTTTAAGCATTTAATAAGAATTATTTTTTAAAACATAGTATAAGAGCGCACTTATATTTAAGTAAATATTGATCATATGGTTTTTTATTTTTCATATGCTAAGTCAGTTATGTTAAAGCTCGGCGGAATTAACCAAGAGAAACATTAGATGGAATGAACAAACTTTAATTGGACTTCTATCTTCTTTTCCCTTTTGTTGATGCTCGGATTAGCTGAGATCAACACTGTCAATACGCTCTTAAGCAGAGGTGCCCGAGGCCCGAGGTGTTTGAGGTGGCCGAGGGCGAGTAGATTTATCCTACAAGGTGAGAGAATACGTCAGAGGCCCTGGGTTAACACTCAAGGCGGAGACTCCGACAGTCAAGTTAGTACTATGTACGAGGTAGCTGAGGCCTGAGGTACGAGGACTTAGATGAGGCTACAAAGGAGGATAAGAGATCTCAAGGAGAGCTCGAGAATCTTAAGTTCTGGGATCCTTTACCTTGGGGGTAGGTACCTTCTATTTATACTTGAGGCCAACGGGTCATGGCAGAGCTCAACCGGTCGAGATGGAGTCCGTACGCAGGGAGTGCGACTATCTAAGGCCGCCAAGTGACTTCGTGCGATTGGTTCCGCGAGGCCCGCCGAGCTCGGC